ATTGATTTCCGCTCAAGTTTTCCGAGCGGTTTTTCGCTTTGAGAGGTCGCAAAGGGAGAAAGCAATGAAATCAGAGAGAAACAAGAAAGAACTCCGAGGCGAAGGAAGCAAGTCAGAGAGGGGGGGGGGGGAGAGGCGCCGGCTCGTAGAAAGAGCATTAAAGGGCTGCAGTGCCATACGTAAAGCGTCGTCGTGCGGGCGCGATTGAAGAGTGCCGCCATCCATCGCAGTACGAAGCCAATCGACGCGCAAACGCTCGCCTCCCAAGACGGAGCCCGGCCCGCGCGACGAACACTCGACTCTGCGATCCCTTCGAAAGATCGATCCCCACGCGCAGGTAAAACCATAGCCGCGCCGCCTTGCCGGGAACTCGCCGACTCTTTTTTTCGCTGCTTGCTTCTATACACACAATACTAGAACAGGTAGCTCCTTTTTTCGCGCCCGACTTGAATAACGAGCGCGCCGCTAGCGTGGATATTCTGTGCGTGGGCGTGCTCCCTTTTCCTTTAACGACCGCAGTTGCCGATGTGCGGAAGCCGTAAAAATTGCTCCGATTCTCCACACCGCCGCTCGCCGCTCCTCATAAATTTTCGTAACAAGATTACATTCGCATAGTTTATAGGCAGTGAAAATTGGATAATTAGCGCGCGGCCGCGGGGATTTGTCGGATAAAAGAAAGAGGAGAGAAGCCGAGCAAAGCTTGTGAAGATATGACGAGGCGTTATCCTAAGAGCACACACGTGATTATGTCAGCTCTTATGCGCTCGTGAGCGCCCTACGAATGAGAGGGACTGCGCTGTGGAAAAGAGCCACGTAATTTATGACATCTCTCGGATTTTAGAGAGAGAGAGAGAGAGAGAGAGAGATGCGTGACACGCACTCGGCACTCGGAACGACCAAAGTAGCCTCGTCCCGACGTTCCAATTCTTTGAGTGGCGCATTTAATTTTCTCCACTTTGCATGCGTTTCCCGGCCGCGCCTTACAGCCGCATCCTCTCAAGAAGCTTTTCATTAGATTTATTCGCTGCTTCTCGTACAGTCTCCGTCGCTACAGCCGCGTAATCAGTACTTTCGACGAATATTTTACAATCGATGCTTTAATCGACGATCGGAGCCCGACAAAATACTGGCTACGGCTATTTGCATTATCGGTGCGAAAGGGCGTGAAAAACGCGCAACAAACTCGTCAACAGTCTAGTTGAAATGTAGAGAAGCTTGGAAGAGCTCTAGAGGCTCGATGAATTTAAATGCAAACTAGGTGAGCAGTCGCGAATAAGAAGGACGCCGAAAGAGAGGGGGAGAGCGAGCGAGTGACGCTTCGGCAGATTACGCTGGAAAGCCCTCGAAATCCTGGGATTGGCCCTCATGGCTTGTCGGATTTCAGCGTCGGTTCTAGGCGCGCGCGGACTTTTCGATAATTACACCTACGTATCGTAAACGTATAAGGCTCGCGACAAACAAAAAATAATAACAGCGCGCGCACGCCACCTATATACGCTCTGATCGCTCTTCTTTTTCAGATTTGCCGTTCTTTCTTTGCAGCCCCGTTATTTACGCGCTGGTTTATCGAGTTATTAAATTTGCTCGCTAATTTATTCGCATAAATTGTCGCTGATTAAAATTTCACGCTGTTCACTCGCGCTCAGCCGCGTTCATTGCGGTCCCCCTCTCTCTCGCGTCGAGCTCTGTACTGCCTGCAGCTTAACGAACGATCCAATTATACCTTTGAATGAAAGGCTTTTTTCGCCATTGGGCTCGTTAACAAAACTCGCAGATGAGCATGATGCGCGTGTGCGGGAAGCGTGTCTTTGAAAGAAGAGCGCTTCCGAAAATTACATAAAAATATAATCGGCACCCAGTGCAATTATGCGCTATTCAACTTTTATGAGCGTGTTCCCGCTTTCATGCGAGTCGATTCCCCTGTTCGTGTGCCTTTCGCGACGTCCTTTACGAATAAATGATTTTCATCGTTAATTTGCGATCTCTGCGTTTGTTTCTTTTCAAAGCTCTCGATGCACGCGAGTCGTACAGCTTTGGAACGTTGTTTCAAAAAGGCGGAAATGAATTTTTCGCCTGGAAGAGAAATCAGGAAAATGAAGACTACGAGGCTGACGGCGCAGCAGCAACAAGCGAGCACGGCATCGAAGAGGAAATTGTTAGCGCGCGCGGTATATCATAGCAACGTGTCGTCGAAAAACGAGGAAGAAGTAAGGAGCGTCGGGGCGTCAATTCGATAAGGCCAGCCGGGGGCAGAGCTCGGCGCGTGAAATAAGTCCGGGCGAATAAAAGACCGAGGAGTGCTGCCGCGCTCAAAAAAGGAGTACGCGCGAGCGCGAGAAAGTTTCGAGTCTCCGCAAATTGCCTCCTATTCAGGATTATATTTGAAATTCGAGGAAATACTCACGCAAAGTGCTTCTCCTTCTCGCAAGCCGGGTGTCGCGAGTTCAATCAAATCAGCTTTTTCTTATTCCTCCCTCGCACGCCAGCACAGCAGCTCCCCTCGAGCTCGGAAAACCTTCTCATTTATTCTGGCCCGGCTTCCAACTCTCTCTCTCTCTCCCTCTCTCTCTCTCTCTGCTTTTTCGTCGTCGTCCATTTTTTTCTTCTTTTTAGAGACCAACTTCGAGGCGCTCTCTGCCTAGACACAATGTCGACGTGATTTCGATGTATTGTCGCTAATGACATTTCCCTCCCCAAATTCACTCGCAACATCCTCGACTCTTTCCCCCCTTGATGACATTCGCCTAACAAGCTACTCGTGTATCGTATCAAACTTTATTACGGGATACAACTCGTTCTATACAGAGCTTTCATTTGACGAATTTTACCGTTGAACGTTCGACACTTCATTTCCATCGTTCTCTCTCAGCAGTCCAATAGCATTGCGTACGATTATTCTACTGAACGAAGAAAATGCAAACATTCGCTACTTTACTGTTATAAACTCGATTTTAATGGCATACTTTGATTCGAATAACTGTACGTTTTATTATCCTGCTACAGTACAAGAGATTGAACATCGCCACTATCTCTATTGAAAGTAATGAATCGTTAAAGTGAGCAATATTCACTTTGTATGATAAAAAAAAAATTTTGTTGTGCCGAGCACAACAATGAAATGTTGGCAGCGCTCGCGCAGGTATCAGCAGACTTTTTGCCACTTGTGCAAAAACAGCGGACGAACTTGTCCCAAATGTCGTTGTCGACATTGTCAGACCTGAAGCACCAAGTGCTTCAATGTCATCCATGAGAGAAGAAGAGAAAAGCGTTTTTTTCGAAAGCACAAACGCACTGTCGTGTGACGCAACACTTTTTTAACAAGACAAAAGTGCCATGAACCTCTTTGGGTACACAAGGAAAACAATGGACCGCGATGATGACATGATTGCGTAATTACAACGTAGCTCGTTTTCGTCGTCGCGTCGGAATCGGACAAAAGTTATTTTGAAAATAGCGAAGAAAACTGGTTGGGAAAAATGGAGTCGAGATCCAATAAAGTGCATCGACGTTGAGGGACAAGCCAGGTGAAATGGTTGCTGTTGTCATTTTTGTTTTTTGCCTGGCGCGCGGGAAATTCAATGACGGTCTCCGTATCGCTGTGAAAATCAAGTTGGCTGCCGGCACTCGCGGCAGGAAGAGCATCGTCAACGGCTGACGCCGAGCGAATTGATCAGTTTACCGAAGAGCGCGAAGGCAGAAAGGGATCGCGCGAGAGAGCTTTCTATCCAACATTGAATCATCTCCGCGAGAAGCAATGCAACGAGACAAGCTCGAAATATCGTGCGTGCGACCGGTTCGCTTCTCTATTCTTTCCAAGTTGGACGCTTAAGCTGTTTTTATTGAATTTCAGCTCGTAAAAAGTTGCGCGAAAAACAAGAGCGCGCGACGTCAATTAAAGCGCGATCCCGTACACGGCGGGCTTGTAATTTGGCGTTTTATGGAGCTTTTTTTTCGCCGCTCGCGCACGAGGACGCCACGGCGAAATTGCGTGTGGAGCGAGCGAGCGCGTGCGCAGACGGTACGGGCCGCGAGCAGCGCGCGATATCGTCCGGCGCTTAAATGTGATTTACGACGAGACTCTTTTTAGCTTATACACGCGCTCGCACGCGCGTCCCGCCCTGCTCTTGCAAAAAATATCTCGCACGATCGCGCGAGCTCTGAGACTCCGACCCGCGTAAAATGTCGCGCGCGGCTATTTTATTCCCATGGAGACTGCAGCCGATCGGTCGTTAACTGCCGTATATCCCAATCGGCTGCGTAAAGAGGAGGCGTGCCCCGCATTTTGAACAGGCCCGACAAGCTGAGCGAACAAGCCGAGAAAAACGAGGCCGCGTGTTTACGGCCAAGCAGTTTGCTGGCTCGCGTCTAGCCATTAGTCGGCGTGGCTTGCCGCTTGCCGCTTGCCGCTTCTTATAGTGGCTATCGGCTCACTGTTATTCGCTCGGAAATTTTCTATCGCGACTGCGCCAAACTTGTCAACGAATCAACATTTTCGTCCCATTGCTCGGCAACGATCACCGTGGCGTTTGTGAATTGCCGAGAGTTCGGCTTGTACGGGAGCATATACGTTGGATACTGCGGCGAGCTTAAAATTATTCGCCAAAGTTTATAATTGACTAACTCAATTATGAGCTTTTGATGTGCCGCGGAGGATATTAAGCGAGCTGGAGGCAGAGAAGCTCGCGCGCACATCGCTAAGCTGCGTTATGGCTCGCGGAGCTCCACTTATTCCGTCCACGCGCGTGCGTCTGCGTGCGCGTATATCTAGCGCACACTCTCCAAATACCTGCGGGATTGCCGAAACACTTTCGGTACATTGTGCGCCGCTGCGGGCCGCGGGGATCGAGTGACGAACTGCCGAACCTCTACCTTCTCTGGCACGTATACGCCTAACCAGCTCTCGTTATCGGATTCGCCCTATTGTATTCTTCCACTCGTTCGTGCTCGCTGTACGCTTGCAAATATTTATCACTTTCTAGCAAATCAAACGATCGACTTACGTAAGCTACGTGCTGATCGAATTACCAGGGAGCAGCAGTGCCAACCCACCTGTAACAGAAAAACGGTATATTATAGACAGATGCTAGCTTACTTCAAAATTCAAATATATATATTCGTCATAATGGTCAGCGAGAGTAAATGCGAGGCATTCCTAGCGGTTTCTCCAATTTGCTCGGACGCGAGGCTCTTCGATGGAAAAATTCCTTTCGTAGCCACGCTCTGCTGCTGCTGCTGCTGCTGCTGCTGTCCTATCTCGCGGCGGAAAGAAACAAAAAACATTCAAAAGCTCCTCGCCAGTATTCCAACTTGAGTGCCGTTGCGCCAGATGACAGGCGCCCTTTCCTCGGCTCTGACACGCATTGCGCGGCGATGCGCGAGGGCGCGTCGTCGTTTGCCGTGGACGCGCGCGAGTCGCAAAGGCGAGCCGCCTCGCAGACGTAAGAGAGAGAGAGAGAGAGAGAGAGAGAGAGCGCAAACAAAAGTAAAAGGCGCCGGCGAGAGCTTGGACGTATAATGACGATGGGCGCGCAAGGAGAGAAGAAAATTACACGATATGAAAGTTTAATGCCGAGCGTATATTAAGAACAATGCCGAGACCGAGGATATCATTGCGACGCGATGAAATTGCCGGCGCTCGCAATTGGGGGAAGTGCCCGCGTGGGAAGCTACTCTAAATATCGCTCACAGCCGTTTTCCTTTCTGAGCTCGCTGCGCGGGATACGTTTATGCAAGGCATCTGGCGATGATTCCGAGCGAAGCCAGCGCTCCAGCCACCCTGTCCGTCGCGCGCGACGCGTCATTATAAATACACGAGCCGCGCGCGAGCCGCCGAGAGGGGCGGGTGGAAAGGGCTCTCGGCTCCAAGCGGCACAAAAGCGAGAGCGAGAAAGTAGGCGCTTTTGTGCCAGCGGCAGTGAAAGCAGGTGTCGGAGAGGAAAAACTGCGCGGCCTCGCCGAAGACAAAGAGCGCGAGAGGATCCGGCGATGCGCGCCGAGAAAAAGCTCGCAGATGAGTATGTAGCGGGCCCGTACGCCCAGCAGCTCGCGCTCTCCCTCGATCACGCCAAGTGCCAGCATCAGCTCGCGTGCAACGCTAAGCATCTGCGAGAGCGCGAGCCTGCGACAATGCGATCGGCGCGTAACGGCGAGCTGGCAAGCAGAGAAGAAATATCGAACGAACAACGAAGCTCGGAGGGAGCAGGGCTGCCCCTTAGCGGTGGACGAGAATCGCGGTAAGAAATGAGCGCCGAAACAAAGGATGAGTTACAGGGAGACGGATTAAGCTGCTGAATAAATCACCTGTGATCGAGTGCAAGCTATTTCCAATTTTTACCCTTCTCTCGGGCATAACGGACGAGACTTGGACAAATGAATCCAATTATTCGCGACTGCTCAAACGAAAAATGATACGGGCAATGATCGATCCAGACCAGATTTATCGCCACTGACCGGAGCTCGGCTACGTCGCGGCGATGAGGCGCATCCGGAACATTAGCCGGCCGAGGCTGCTGCGGAGTAAGGGACGAGCAGTGGTCGAGACAAAAGCTTGCCGTGGCAATTGGAGCCCGATGTCGATCGCGTTTACAGGAGGGCTGCACCCTGCTTGGAGCCACCGAACGCACCGACGTTTTCCTTCCGATTCTCACGCCAAACCCCCGTTTTTTTTTCGCTCTTCCGGAGGACCTCCGCGCGTTCGGCAACGGCGACGCAAGCACAATGTCGGTCTCCAACAGTATTATGCATTTTAGATGCATTAGCGACAGGCGCATCGCTCTTGCGCGACGACTGCCTGCCCCGATTTACCCCACACGCATGCTCGATCGGCCTCGTCGATCGACGAATATTCATTAGATTACACGCTTAGTTAATGTAACGAGAAAATAAACATTTGATTTACGTCGTGGCGCAGTCTGCATTAATGCGCGTAGTAGCGTATATACGCGCCACAATGGCGCATTGTTTGACTAGCGAAGTTGCATAAATTTTGGGCTTCAATGTCGTATTTCCGCAGTCACCGGGCCGATCGCAGTGAGTGCGCGCGCACATTGAAACGAAATAAAAAATAGTGACTGAAAACGATGCGGCAGGGACCATAGGAATAGTCGCAGCTTTGACGGAAGGGCAGAGAAAGAAAAAGAAAGCATAGAACGCGGCCGTGGCGCGTGTTTCGGACGTGTACTGCGCGCCACGGCCAAGTGGGCTGCAATCTCTGCTTGCGCGCGCGCGAGGTCCTCGGATCGCGCTGTTGGCGCTGCTGCATCGAAATGAGCCCTCAATAAACATTTACCATTGACATGCAAATTGCTGCGAGGGACTGAGAGCGGCTGCTGCGTCACTTGAGTAGAACTGAGTGTGTGGCGCCGGCCTCTGCCCTATTACCCCCCCCCCCCTACCCACTTGTATTTCACGCAACCGATATTTAGACAAGCTGATTATATATGCGGCAGGAGCCCCGAACTGATTCTCCCTGATATTGACATGTGTCGTTATATCTGAACAAATTTCATTTCAAAGCTGTCTATTATCGCGATTAATTTGGACTTGAGATAGCCGCCTCATATACTCCTTTTTTTTGCATTTTCACCAGTCCTCCTTTCCGTTTTCTCTCTACTTGCACGTCGTTATATCTTTGCGTTGGGTCGCACTGCGGACACTTTGTAAATTATCTCAGTAACTTTATAGTCCCTTTTTGTGATGTCAAGCACATATAAATTTTCTACGTTACATCGCGGCCATGTTTATTCGATTCTATCTTTCATATTTTGTACGCATAAAGAAAACTTGACCTTCAATTGTTTTCTAAAGCTGAATAACTTATGGGTAGCTTGGTGTATTGCAAAAACTTTCGAATCCTAGAATTGCAACAACTTTTAATCAAAATTTTATTAAGCCAAAAAAAGTATTCTTTAATCAATAAAATTTCGTGTATTATTAACAAAGCTTAATTACTTGCAACTGAAATAATTTAATTATGGAAAGTTCAATATGACCAAATGGTCAATCTGGAAATGATCTTAAAGGCGAGCAAAGCAAATAGAACTGACATCGTCGTAAGTTAAAGGTGCATCAGTGGGTCCAGGAAGGGCGCGAGTGGAATAGCTGTATCGCAATTGGCTCGAGTGGCTCGACAAGACGACAAGACTTCCGAGTACCATTGGAACTGTCCCTTGCTGCGACTCTCTCTCTCTCTCTCCCTCTGCCGTATCCTTGTGTCGCGTGCCTCGGCATAGAGCATTTCCTTAATTACGCTCGCGCGCGCGCGCCTGCCACTTTGAATTTTATAATCCAAGGAGTATTTTTCTCAAGAGCTTAATTGAACAAACTTATGCGCGAACACGACGCACTTTCTTTGCGCTTCTTTGCTTTCTTTCTTTTTTTTTATCGCCAAGCAAGTACGTCGATGCTGTATGTTTTTTTTTTGTTGTCGTCCCACGCGTAGAAGAATATAACCAGACGGCATTTAATTAACAAAGTGCAGGGGCGGAGAGAGGTAGGAAGCTTTTACGAGCACAAAAGCATAAAACTGCTGTGTGCGAGAGAGAGAGAGAGAGAGAGAGAGGAGCGTTCGCGTAAAAATATCTTTTACAAGGATATAGCATCAGCGCAGTCTTCGCGCCTCGTGGCCAGTACAAAGCACTTTATGGGTCCCAAAGAGCCGCCGCCACGGGCTGTGAAACAAGAGAAAGAGAGGGAGGGAGGGAGAGAGCGAGACATGCCACGGGAACATCACCGACCGCTGCTTGCCCCTGCCTGATATTCTTTTATTCGCGTCGGCCGCGCGGGCTACATCAATTTTCCATTTTTATAACAATGACCTGCCGGTGTCCCTTTTGTTCGCGCGCAGTCCGCGCAACCCGCGCAGCGGCCCAACGCAGCCCGGCTGTTTTATTACCACGTGCCTTTTCTAGCCAGCGCGTTTATCAATTAGCATCATTAGAGAGAGAGAGAGAGAGAGGCCGCGGCCCAAACAGACTGTCGCAGCATCGCACTTCGTTTCATTTTGCACTTTGCCGCTTTTGCGCTGCTTTTCCGTAGTCAACCTGTGAAGCTTCGCTTGCTCTTTCATTAATCCACTCGAGTAGTTTTGCAGTTGCGTTAGCGTTTCTCGCCTCGTCGTTCTTGGAAAAGTCCGGGATGCCGAGAGCTAGAAACGCCCGTCGAGTTTGGCCGAAAGGACAGCGTCGTAGGGCGAACACGCCGGGAATGTGGGAAAGCGGCGGCGATCGTAAATGCGATTATGGCGCGTGCGGCGCTCGCAAGCCCGCTCGCTGCCCGACTCGCACGCGCGCGTAGCGCTCCGCGGACTGCGTCAAAAATTCAATCTGGGGATTTTCAATTTGACGTACGCCCCGGTGAGCCCGCGACTACCGCCCATATGTAGGCGAGACTCGTTACGCGGCCTACTGGCTCTCGCTTCTCCATTTCGCCGCGCGTGCGCGTCGCTAAGCGTCGCCGCGTACTTTGCGCCGATTTTTTCCGTCGACGGGCAACTCGTGGGCTTTCACCGGAATAAAACGACGAAGCGTGCGTCGACTGGCTCCGATTCCGAATTGACGAAACGATGCGACCGTGGACATTCCCGTGGCACGGCTCGCTTTCGTCGCCGTCGATTCGCGCCGCGCGGCTCCCTTTCATGCGGCGTGACTAGGCATCGAGGCGACGACTGCTTTCTCCACGGGCCGCTGTCACCACATGCAGAGATTAACCAGGCCGCCTACGCAGCGTTCCGATAAGCCCAGAGTCACCGAGTGGCCCCCCGCCCCCCCCCCCCCCCCCCCCGAAAAACCGTCCTCGCGGCCTGGGACCCGTTGCGCGCGACATCTCGACTGCGCAGCCATGTACACGTACGCGTGCGTTATATGCGCACGCGTCGAGCCTAGAATAACATCTCGCGCGTGCCGAGGCTGCAGGAATGTGCCGGCAGCAGCATCCAGCACCATAGCCGAGGCAGCAAGGCAGCGTCAGCGCGCCACCGCGAGCGCCGCCCCGATTGACACGCTTTTACGCCGCACGCACGTTCCGCGCCAAACTGCTGCGCGCTGCTCTTT